CACAAGGTTTATAACCACAAAAGAAAGGTTGGGATTGATTTTGGGGGTTATGGTCCCAAAGGTTCAGGAATTAGAGGCCAAAAAAGGGCCTAAATAAGCATTTTTGCAGTTTCCAGACAATAACTTGTGTTTAAGTGTATGAATCTCTCTGAAATTATACAAAAGTTTCCATACAACAAAGGGATGGTTATGGGAGGTTACGGCTCAAACCTTTTAGCAATTAGGGGCAAAAAAAAGGGGGAAAAACAAGGGTTTTTATGGTTAAAGGACAATTTAGACAATTTAAAAGCAGTGTAAGGGAGGTTATCCAATCCATTCAAAGAATACTGTTGTATATATGTTTGATTACCTTCCTTACACTGCTTGTAAATTATGTATTAAGTAATGATGATTGACTTGAGATGATTAGCTGTAAATTTATTTTTAGAAGTTACTATTAATTAATATTAATTTTAATCATGATTGTATGTCATTTTATATTTTGATATTTTATGATGTATTTAAATGAGTAGTTATGGTTGCAAACTCCATTAGAAATTTGAATTGAGATTATTTTTGGAATAAGGGAAAGGGGGAGTTGAAAAAATTGGGGGGGGGGGGGGGGGGGGGGGGGGGTAAATAAGAATTAGTGGGGGGCTATAATTTTTCTCATTTCAGATTTCAAAAATTAAAAAGAAAATTTCTTCAAATATTTTTTTTTTGGGGGTGAGGGGATAGGGGGTTACTATCCAACAGCATAGTGTATTGCACAAAAGCAAAAAAAACGGGTAAATGTTTTTTGGGGGGGGGGGGGGGCAATTCGCAACAGCATAGTGTATTGCACAAAAGCAAAAAATTGAATATAAATTCAAATCATATAACCAACTTTAAGTTCTTTGACTAGACTTATTCTGTGTCAGAAACCTATTATGTGTCAGAAACCTATCATGTGTCAAATATTTAATTACAATCCAAATTCAGACCTGTATCAAGCGCGAATAATGTGTCCATTTTGGCTGCAACTTTTCAGGGTTGGACATCTGCGCTCGTATCCAGCTGCGCTCAGCAAAGCAATTTATCTTAAACTATAAGCAATAGGTCAACTATATTTGGTGTATTGAATGATTGTAAGGTGTATATATCTGTCTGGCAGGTATCATTTGACGATGACCTCCTTTTTAGCTCATGTGAGCATATGCCATCACTTGGCTTCCGTCATCGTCATCTGTCGTCGTAAACTATTTCATGAATCTTCTCCTGTGAAACTTCTGGGCCATATACCTTCAAACTTAAACTGAATGTTCAGTAGGGTATCTAGTTAATAAATTGTTTCCTAAGTTTTGATCCATCAAGAAACATGGTCGCCATGGCTAAAATAGAACATAGAGGTCAAATGCAGTTTTTGGCTTATATCTCAAAAACTAAATCATTGAGAGCAAATCTGACAGGGTAAAAATGTTCAAAAGGTCAAGATTACCAGCCCTGAATTTTCCAGACGAATCGAACAACCGATTGTTGGGTTGCTGCAACTAAATTGGTAATTTTAAGGAAATTTTGCAGTTTTTGGATATTATCTTTAATATTATTGAAGATAAAGATAAACTGTAAACAGCAATAATGTTCAGCAAAGTAAGATCTACAAATAAGTTCATATGACCAAAATTGTCAATTGACTCCTTAAGGTGTTATTGCCCTTTAAAGACAATTTTTGTCGAGCCTGCGACTTTTGTCGCAGAAAGCTCGACATAGGGATAGTGATCCGGCGGCGGCGGCGGCGTTAGCTAACTTCTTAAAAGCTTTATATTTTAGAAGGTGGGAGGTCTGGATGCTTCATACTTTGTATATGGATGCCTCATGTTACGAAGTTTCCGTCAGTCACATGTCCAATGTCCTTGACCTCATTTTCATGGTTCAATGACTACTTGAAAAAAAAGTTCAGATTTTTTGTAATGTTAGATTCTCTCTTATTATAAGTAATAGGATAACTATATTTGGTATGTGCGTACCTTGCAAGGTCCTCATGCCCGTCAGACAGTTTTCACTTGACCTCGACCTCATTTCATGGATCAATGAACAAGGTTAAGTTTTGGTGGTCAAGTCCATATCTCAGATACTATAAGCAATAGGTCTAGTATATTCGGTGTATGGAAGGACTGTAAGGTGTACATGTCCAACTGGCAGGTGTCATCTGACCTTGACCTCATTTTAATGGTTCAGTGGTTATAGTTAAGTTTTTGTGTTTTGGTCTGTTTTTCTTATACTGTATGCCATAGGTCTACTATATTTGGTGTATGGAATGATTGTAAGGTGTACATGTCTAGCGGGCAGGTGTCATCTGACCTTGACCTCATTTTCATGGTTCAGTGGTCAAAGTTAAGTTTTTGAGTTTTGGTCTATTTTTCTAATACTATATGCTATAGTTCAACTATATTTGGTATGTGCGTCCCTTGCAAGGTCCTCATGCCCGTCACACAGTTTTCACTTGACCTTGACCTCATTTCATGGATCAATGAACAAGGTTAAGTTTTGGTGGTCAAGTCCATATCTCAGATACTATAAGCAATAGGTCTAGTATATTCGGTGTATGGAAGGACTGTAAGGTGTACATGTCCAACTGGCAGGTGTCATCTGACCTTGACCTCATTTTCATGGTTCAGTGGTTATAGTTAAGTTTTTGTGTTTTGGTCTGTTTTTCTTATACTGTATGCCATAGGTCTACTATATTTGGTGTATGGAATGATTGTAAGGTGTACATGTCTAGCTGGCAGGTGTCTTCTGACCTTGACCTCATTTTCATGGTTCAGTGGTCAAAGTTAAGTTTTTGAGTTTTGGTCTTTTTTTCTAATACTTTATGCAATAGGTCATCTATATTTGGTGTATGGAAATATTTTATGATATACCTGTCAGTCTTGCAGGTTTTATTTGACCTTGACCTCATTTTCACGGTTCATTGCTCAGTGTTAAGTTTTTGTGTTTTGGTCTGTTTTTCTAATACTATAAGCAATAGGGTCAACTATATTTGTTGTATGGAAGGATTGCAAGCTGTATTACATGTCTGCCTGGCATTGTTCATCTGACCTTGACCTCATTTTATTGGTTCATTGGTCAATGTTTAGTTTTCTTGGTTAAGTCTGTATCTTAGAAACTATAAACAATAGGTCAACTATATTTAGTGTATTGAATGATTGTAAGGTGTACATGTATTTCTTGTTTGGTTTATATGACCTTGACCTCATTTTCTTGGATCATGTTAAGTGTATGTGATAGTTGTAGTAAAGCTTTATATTTAGGACTATCAACATAATATCAATGGTTAGTAAAGAAGGCGAGACATTTCAGCGTGTGCACTCTTGTTCATAATGTGTTCCTCTAGTTTGCTTACTTTAAAAAAATCTTCTCTTTTGAAACGGCTGAATCAATTCAGCCAAACTTGGGCTGAATGGGTTTAGAGTATCTAGTTTAAATTTCTACATTTTATTTCCTTGTTCGTCAAGAAACATAGCCACTATGGCTAAAATTGAACATAGGGATAAAATGCTTTTTTTTTGCATTTGAAGAAAATATGACAGATACAAAGAACATTTAAATGGCATTTTTAAGCCACTCATTAATATATATAGAAAAGCAAAAATAATTATTGATGAAAGATTTAAGCAAAAAATTACAGGTGGGCGATTCAGGCTCTTTAGAGCCTCTTGTTATGGTTCATTGGTCAATGTTAAGTTTTCATTGTTAACTTTTTTTCTAGGATATTTCAAGCAATAGGTCAATTATATTTGGTGTATGGAATGATTGTAAGGTATATGTCTGTCTTGCAGGTATCATCTGACTTTGACCTCATTTTCATGGTTCATTGGTCAATATTAAGTTTTCATGGTTAAGTTTGTTTCTTAGAAACTATAAGCAATATGTCAACTGTATGTAATACATAGATTGCCTTACTGCCTGTAAGGTGTACTTGTCTGTCTTGGATGGTTCATCTGACCTTGACCTCATTATCATCGTTCACTGGTCAATGCTACGTTTTCCTCGTTAAGTTTATTTCTTAGAAACTATAAGCAATAGGTCAATTATATTTCGTGTATGGAATGATTGTGAGGTGTAGATGTACATGATGTATTTTTTGTTTGGTTTATCTGACCTTGACCTCATTTTCTTTTATTATCGTAAGTTTATGTGATACTTGTAGTAAAGCTTTATATTTAGGAGTATCAACATTAAATCAATTTTCTAGGAGTTATGCCTGTGTGAACTTAGAATGTTGGCCTAAATATACTACTGTAAGAGTTTATCATCGCAACTCCTCTGAAACCACACAACAGAATTTCATGAAACTTTGTAGATAGTTAGGACATACTATGTATATGTGCATATGCACAGGAAATTTTTTTCAGTTGATTTTTGTAGGAGTTATGAGTTTTAGGAATCTGGTGAGATTTTGTTTGCCCAGTGACAATTTTGGGGTGTGGGGTATGTGAGCGTGCTCACAAAGGTTCTTTAATTCGAGACAATTGTGCACAGACCCTGGCATCATAGCGAGTTGATTCTTCAAGTATATTTTCATAGCTTCTTTCTGTATTTCTATGTGGGTATTAAAGCGACAACCGAAGCACATTTCGTACTACAAATGTACAAAGGATCAATGCTTTTACAACACTGTAAAATGACAAAAGAAGGATTCAATTTTGATAATGAGATGTTTATGCTACAATCATGATATAGCAGTTCATATCAAGCTTTTCATTAGTTTTCCTATGCATTGTTCTGATGTTCTCAAAGGAAGCACATGCAGTCATGAAAAAATGAATTTTATTGGTAAATAAATAAAATATAATTTTGGAATGTCTCCATGACTGTTGTCTGTCAATCAAAACTTACATGTAATGCAATTGAATATTAAATATTAACATACAGTGAAAACAGGCACACAAAATAGTTATATGTGTATACTTAATTAAATAGAGTAAAGTTATTATATTCTTCTTTATAGAAAAACTCTTTATGAACAAATATTATTGCAGGTGATATGGTTCCAACTGAAATAAAATTAATGGCTGACAAAAGATCTATTGATTTGTACCTCAAATTACTTGAGTCAGGCTCTGAAAAAAAGAGAGACATACGTTTAGTAGTAGTTGGAAAAAAAGGTGCAGGAAAGACATCATTGATTAAAAGATTGTTCTCTGAAGAGAATACAGATGTAACTAGTACAAATGGAATAGAAATCCACACAATAAAATGCAAAGCAAAGGCTGATGATGGCATATGGAATAAATTAGATGGTATGATGTATAAATTTAAACACAAATGTTTCTCTATTCTTAAGAAAGTATTTATAATGTTTTTGTTTTCTAGTTTACATAATTTATTATTCAGCAATATTATTTGATTTTTTAGGGGACTATCTATCAATTTCCAGTTTTCAAAGCATAGGTCTTACAGGATCCAATATTAATTCAAGGATACATTTCAATTATTCCAGGTCAAGAATTTTCATAAATAGTTCATCCAGTCAGAAACTATGTGAAGAGATATTTATGGTACAAGTGTGTATCTGGTACAATAGAAATGGTACCATTAATGTTATAGGCTTTTAAACAGTATCAGAAAAGATGAACAAAATAACTAAAGCTTGGTTTGATTTTGTCAAAATATGACCCCAAAAGTTCATTGTTACATTATTGTTACAACCACATTTGCATCCATATGCATGCGACACATGGTTTGACCTCAGTCAAGATTTTGATTGTGCATGTGCTCATCATGTTCAGTTACGTCATCTCCTTTAACTGGTAACACCTGCCTGATTTAAATTTTAATTAAAAAGATGATGTTGATCATATTTTTATCGATGATATGATATCACACAGAAAAGAGGAATATCATTATAATACTATTTCATTTGATTTTTATATTTATCTATTTAAATTGCCTTTTTGTCACATGCTTTCTTTAGAGCTACTGTTGACGGATAATTATGGGTTTTCCGGTCGTAAAAAAATGTTGATACTTCATGAAAATTGTTTGCCTTTTCTATTGTTTTCTGTGGACTTTTTGTACTACTGGTATACTTTTAAATATGGTATATACGCGTATAAATCAATTCTGAAAGTTCCAAATCGATACAGTTTATGTGGATTTGGTAGCTAATGCTGTTTTAACATGTGGAGACATTGATATAAAATGTGTCATGATTGCCCATAAGACAGCTTTCCAACAATGACCAAAGGATGAGGGTGTAAACAATTACAACTCACTGTTTGCCTTCAAAATTATATGTTAACCACACCATCTCATGATGATTCTTAATGCATGCTTTTTTGGATTTATTTTGATGAATATCTTAACTTTATTAGCAACATATTAATAATAAGGTATGTGTAGAATATGCATCAAGTTTTGTGGTTTTCGTCAAATCTGTTATATCAATATTACAACCAACTGAAGAAACTCCCTTTTCAATTGTGATAACTGTTCATGAGTATTTTTGTAGAACTAGCTAAGGGTTGGAAAAAAAATTGATGGACAACATTTATTTTGTAACTGTTTATTGCTTATTTTATGATGGATCTTACTTAGTATTTCTTTACTATTATTATAATTTTCTAATGATAGGAACCAATAAAGAAACTGAAATTCATGCAAGACTCTTGAAACAATACAAAGGAACAATTGAAGCATCAGTACAAGAAGTAACACATGAAGTTGTTAGGGAAAACACCCTCATAACCATTCTGTACAAGCGTATTGAGGAATCAAAAGAATCAGAGACAGTAAGCCAGCAGCCTAAAAAAAGAAAACTTCAAGTAACCACTGAATCTCAAGTTGAACCTCCAGTAACCTCGCAGCAACGAAACCAATCATTAAAACAGGCAAAAATGGATATTGAAACCATGCTTAAATCTAATGTTGATTTACATGACAAAGAGGAGTATGCCACATTATTGCTATGGGATTTTGCAGGAGATGAAGAATTTTACCACACACATCAAACCTTTTTGTCCTCGGGTGCAATTTATCTTGTTGTAACAAAACTCAATGAAGCTGACGACAAAAATGCACAAGGTAACATTTCATAGAGATAAGATAAGTGAGATTTAAAATATTTTATATTTTATTTAACTTTTTCTTAGCTTAAAATGCAAATTGTTGTCAAGAACTATAGATTCCAATTTATGCTCCAAGTAAAGAAGAAAATATGAGAGGCAATCAGTCAATTGGTCCGAGGACACAGTTATCGTCCTTAGATTTTCGTTGTCTACAAATATAGTCCCTAGTGTGGACAGTGTATAACTTGCAAATTTTGTTCATACACTTTCCAAATTTATTTCTTCATATTTTATGCATGAAATATTAAGTTAAGGGATGAAATTACATAAAATTATTAAAAATATTTGGGTGCTGAATCTTTATGTTAAGTAGTGATTTGGTCCAGTTCAAAAAGGTCAAAAACTAGTATGTCTGAAGCTGTCGAACTGAATTTTAGACCCCCTTAACATAGAATTGTCAATATTTTGAGTTAGAGCTGGTAGACTTTTCTATAATTTTTGTCGAGCCTGCGACTTTTGTCGCAGAAAGCTCGACATAGGGATAGCGATCCGGCGGCGGCGGCGGCGTTAGCTAACTTCTTAAAAGCTTTATATTTTAGAAGATGGAAGACCTGGATGCTTCATACTTTGTATATGGATGCCTCATGTTACGAAGTTTCCGTCAGTCACATGTCCAATGTCCTTGACCTCATTTTCATGGTTCAGTGACTACTTGAAAAAAAAGTTCAGATTTTTTGTAATGTTAAATTCTCTCTTATTATAAGTAATAGGATAACTATATTTGGGGTATGTGCGTATATTGCAAGGTCCTCATGCCCGTCAGACAGTTTTCACTTGACCTCGACCTCATTTCATGGATCAGTGAACAAGGTTAAGTTTTCGTGGTCAAGTCCATATCTCAGATACTATAAGCAATAGGTCTAGTATATTCGGTGTATGGAAGGACTGTAAGGTGTACATGTCCAACTGGCAGGTGTCATCTGACCTTGACCTCATTTTCATGGTTCAGTGGTTATAGTTAAGTTTTTGTGTTTTGGTCTGTTTTTCTTATACTGTATGCAATAGGTCTACTATATTTGGTGTATGGAATGATTGTAAGGTGTACATGTCTAGCTGGCAGGTGTCATCTGACCTTGACCTCATTTTCATGGTTCAGTGGTCAAAGTTAAGTTTTTGAGTTTTGGTCTTTCTTTCTTATACTGCATGCAATAGGTCAGCTATATTTGGTGTATGGAATGATTGTAAGGTGTACATGTCTAGCTGGCAGGTGTCATCTTACCTTGACCTCATTTTCATGGTTCAGTGGTCAAAGTTAAGTTTTTGAGTTTTGGTCTTTTTTTCTAGTACTATATGCAAAAGTTTAACTATATTTGGTGTATGGAAATATTTTATGATCTATATGTCAGTCACGCAGGTTTTATTTGACCTTGACCTCATTTTCAAGGTTCATTGCTCAGTGTTAAGTTTTTGTGTTTTCGTCTGTTTTTCTTAAACTATAAGCAATAGGTCAACTATATTTGTTGTATGGAAGAATTGTTAGCTGTACATGCCTGCCTAGCATGGTTCATCTGACCTTGACCTCATTTTCATGGTTCATTGGTCAATGTTTAGTTTACTTGGTTAATGTTAAGTTTATGTGACAGTTGTAATAAAGCTTTATATTTAGGACTATCAACATAATATCAATGATTAGTAAAGAAGGCGAGACATTTCAGCGTGTGCACTCTTGTGATATTATTTGTCCCAATAGTAGTACACTACACTGTAAAAATCTTTTTGAGATAGAGCAGGTGCGATTTTTTGGAAAGTTTGCTATAGCTTGCTGTAGCAATAAACTTTCCTATGGCATCGGCCTCAAACTGGAAGTTGGACAGACTATCTTACTATAGGATGTGTGTTCTACCCCAAGATAATGTAGTACTAGTGTTTGAATACAAATTAAATAAAGACACTTTTGAAATTTTTTTGAGTTACTTCTATTTTAATAAGCTTACAGCTTAAATAAAATTAATTAAAAATTGGACTGAAGGTTCACCGACAATTCAAATGGATCCAACTTTATTTTGAAAATGGGTATCACAAAAACTACTTCGCGGATCTGCCCTGCACGGAAGATAAAATCAATACACATCAACACGAGGCAGCAGTTTCTACGTTTAATTAATTGAAAATTAAGAGGGCCTGATATTTATTTCGAGGTGTGTGTTGGTTTTTTTTTTTTACATTTATTCATGAAATTAAAGAATTCTTATTGTTAAGAATGTCGTAATCTTTTCAATTTTTACGTTTGCAAATGGTATTAGGTGTGACCTCTATAAATTATGCATACTTTGAACTGTCACTGTTTATGTTATCTGTATGTTTTCCTACGGGAATCCCTAGACATGCTTTTAATCCATTTATGTGAACCTCCTGACAGGAGTACAATAATCCCGGTGTCACGGGTCTCCCCCGTCCTCCGATCGAAGAGAAAATAAATACCCTGTTTAAAAAATTCTCTTGAATGAACATTTTCTGGCGCCAATTTTACGATATTTACAAATGTTTATTAAAGACATAAAAGCCCGAGGGTATTGAAAGTATCCTCATATCTCGGCCCATAACAACTCGGCCTCACAAAATCTGACTATAATTTTTGTATACGACCGCAAAAAAATTTTGTGGTCGTATATTGGTATGACATTGGCGTCGTCGTCCGAAGACATTGGTTTTCGCACTCTAACTTTAGTTTAAGTGAATGGATCTCTATGAAATTTTACCATAAGGTTCAATACCACAAAAGGAAGGTGGGGATTAATTTTTGGGGTTATGGTACCAACAGTTTAGGAATTAGGGGCCAAAAAGGGGCCAAAAATAAGCATTTTTGTAACTTCCAGACTTAACTTGTGTGTTAGTGTATGGATCTCTCTGACATTGTACAACAAGGTTCCATATCAGAAAGGGAATTCTGGGATTGGTTTTGGGGGTAATTGCCTCCAAATTTTAGGAATGAGGGGCCAAAAAGGGGCAAAAAACAAGCATTTTTCTAGTTTCATGACAATAACTTGTGTGTAAGTGTATGGATCTTTCTGAAATTGTACTACAAGGTTCCATATCACAAAGGGAAAGCTGGAATTGAGTTTGGGGGTAATTGCCTAAAACGTTTAGGAATAAGGGGCCAAAAATAAGCATTTTTCTAGTTTCCAGACAACAACTTGTGTTCAAGTGTATGGATCTATCTGAAATTGTACTGCAAGGTACCATACCACAAAGGGAAGGTTGGGATTGAGTTTGGGGGTGATGAATCATAAGGGGGTTCAAAACATTGGGGGGGGGAGGGGATTTTTTTTTCCTTTTTTTCCATTAAAATTTTCCATTTTAAATTGGTTATTTCTGATTTATATGTAAAGGCAAATAATAATGATATGGTTTGAATATGTAAATTAAAAAAAATTAAGTTCTTAGACCATATTCATTCTTTGTCAGAAACCTATGCTGTGTCAAATATTTAATCACAATCCAAATTCAGTGCTGTATCAAGCTTGAATGTTATGTCCATACTTGCCCCAACTGTTCAGGGTTCGACCTCTGCGGTCGTATCAAGCTGCGCCCAGCGGAGCATTTTATTAAATTTTCAAATGACTATAACTCGAAAACAGTAAGTGATAGACACACACGGTCTTCAGAAATGATCACAGGACAATAAAACAAATCAAATAAAATTTAGGATGAGTCCCTATGGGTCACCCCCACCCACTTCAATTTGAGAATGTGCTTTTATCTTGTAAACAGTCGAGATCCCCACCCTTAAACCATATATATTCTTGTATGAGACAATAAAATAAATCAAATGAAATATTGGGGGAGTCCCTGGGGTCACCCCACCCCCTTCTGTTTGAGAACTTGTAAACGGTCGCTATCCCCACCCTTAAACCATAAATATTCTTGTATGGAACAATAAAACAAATCAAATGAAATAAAAGGGAAGTCCAAGGGGGATCAACCCACCCACTTATTTATACAACATGTAAACGGTCGAGGTTCCCACTCCTAAACCATAAATATTCTTGTATGGGACAATTAAACAAATTAAATGAAATTTAGAGAAGTCCACGGGGGTCACCCCACCCCCTTATATATACAACGTGTAAACGGTCGAGGTTCACACCCCTAAACTATAAATATTTTTGTATGGGACAATTGATTGATTGATTGATTGTTGTTTGCTTTACGCCGCATTAGCACATAAAGGCTATATCGCGGCAATTGAACAAATCAAATGAAATATGAGGGAAGTCCACGGGGGTCAACCCACCCCCTTATATATACAACGTGTAAACGGTCGAGGTTCCCAATTCTAAACCATATATATTCATGTATGGGACAATAAAACAAATTAAATGAAATATAGGGCGAGTCCCTGGGGGTCATCCCACCCCCTCCTGTTTGAGAACTTGTAAACGGTCGAGATCCCCACCCCTAAACCATAAATATTCTTGTATGGGATGATAAAACAAATCAAATTAAATATAGGGGAAGTCAATGGGGGTAACCCCCACCCCCTCCTTTTTGAGAACTTGTAAACGGTCGAGATCCCCACTCCTAAACCATATATATTCTTGTATGGGACAATAAAGCAAATCAAATGAAATAAAGGGCGAGTCCCCTGGGAGTCACCTCCCCCTTTTGAGAAATTTTAAACGGTCGAGATCCCCACCCTTAACCATATATATTCCTGTTCGGCATTTCAAGAAGAATTGAATGACATGTATTGGTTTAAGTTTTCTGTCTTATTTAAATTAAGAGATGTGGTAATTTTTGCGAATGAACCAGCTATTCAAAAGAGTTCAAATGAAAAAGCTATATAAACAATTATAGGTCACCATATGGTCGTCAAGAATAAGAAAAACTCATACCATATAGTAAGCTATAAAAGGCCCTGATATATAAAAAAATGTGGAACAATTCAAACAAGAAAACTAACTGCTTAATTAGTAATAATACAATTTACTAAAAACAAATATGAAGGACCTAAATCAATAAAAAATACTAAAATCACAGGCCCTTTATATGGGATGGGCACAAAAAGAAATTAACAGAGCTTTCTGTATATTTAAAATCTACAGTTTAAGGCTGCAATAGAAATTATCAAAATTTTACATGACAAACATATGAACAAAAGAGATTTTTGATAATTGCTGATGAGACTATGGTTTCGGAAAAAAAACATGTGATTAAATACATATTTGAAATAATACACATCTACAACCCATTTGAAATAATAAACATCTACCGTTGCAAACTTTCCACAGGTGCTATGCAGCACTTTGATTTAATTTGAATTTATTGTCTTAAAGAAATGCACTACGAAATAACTGTGTTCTTGGGCCTAAGAAATGAATTCAGGAAATGTAGATTCTGTACTTTGGCAACTTCCCTGAATGGTTTGCTGGTTTCAATTAGTCAAACTCAATAAAAGTAAAGGATTTAAATCTTTATTTGAAAGAAATTCTGTTAACATGTCCCATTTTGGCATTATACGGCGAAAGTAAGCATTTTATAGCAGTTTCCATTTTTATGCCTAAGAGGCATGCTGACTTTCTATCTGACAGCTTTTTATGCTTTGATATTTGTGTTTCTATGATTAATTCAAATTCTATTAACCATTTGTGAACTCTGAATGTAGAGAAAAGTAGATTATCACAGAAAAAAATGTGCAAAATGTGTTGTAATTAGGAACTGGTCGAACGGCCTGTTTGATGTATGTGAAATGTGAATAGCTTTGTACATAAAATTTGTAGTCCATCATAAATATTTCACTTAATCTGTAAAAAAAGCACTTGACAATGATCTGTGCACCTTATTCATTTCATATACTACCTTTATTTTTTTCTGTAGGATAGCATGTGTTTCAAATATATACCAGTTAAGACTAACACTACATGCAAGTTTTCCATTGAAAAGTGAAAAAACTGCACAGACCATACTGTCTGCAAAAAAAGTTGAATGTAAGAGTCCTTTTGCAATTAGACTTCTTGTATCATGACATCTTAGCATAGAAATGAGCAAAAAGTAACAAATTTCCATTTCTAATAGCTTCTGTATGCATTTTTATATGTAAATATGTACTACGGCCTAAATTGACTCTAAATAATGTTCAGTCTTGCATGACCTAAGACCATTTTATACTCATGTGGTATGCTTTTTGTAACTTTTCTTTCCATTTAAAGTATATTTAGTATATATGGAAGAATAATTTATGGTTAAAAAACTTCAAAAACTTCAAATTGGTTGGAAAAAATGCATGTTTATGTAAGGCTCCCCTTAATTCGAAAATCTCAATTTTCAGGCACAGGCTCATATAAATTTGACTTTTGAATAATTGTAATAAATCTGAAAAATCAAATGAGTGTTCAGTTGCTTTTAATACCTAATATTTTATATCTAAGAGCATTTAAAAAGCAAATTTTTGCAATATTTAAATTTTTAAAGCCCAAATCTTGATAGTTGAAATTATTTGATTTAAATGTCAAAATTAAACATCCAAATTTCAATATTAAAATAGCCATAGTTCCTATGATATATATCCTATGGCCATGAAACTTGGCCAACTATCTTATAATTCCATAAGCTTAGGTCATGCAACGTTTTATTAGAATTGGTCAAGTCTTTCTATTCTATTAGGTCCGAGGACACAGTTATCGTCCTTAGATTTTCGTTGTCTACAAATATAGTCCCTAGTGTGGACAGTGTATAACTTGCAAATTTTGTTCATACACTTTCCAAATTTATTTCTTCATATTTTATGCATGAAATATTAAGTAAAGAGATGAAATTACATATTAAAAAAATTTGGGTGCTGAATCTTTATGTTAAGTAGTGTTATGGTCCAGTTCAAAAAGGTCAAAAACTAGTATGTCTGAAGCTGTCGAACTGAATTTTAGACCCCCTTAACAAAGAAATGTCAATATTTTGAGTTAGAGCTGGTAGACTTTTCTATAATTTTGATATTATTTGTCTCAATAGTAGTACACTACACTGTAAAAATCTTTTTGAGATAGAGCAGGTGCGATTTTTTTAATTTGAATTTATTGTCTAAAAGAAATGCACTACGAAATAACTGTGTTCTTGGGCCAATTAATTGCATTAACTGTTCCAATTTTACTGCACCAGATGTGCATTTCAACAATGAATGTCTCTTCAGTAATGCTCGATGGCAAAATGTTGAGCTAATGACAGCTTTTGTTTAAAAGACAGATTTATCAGTCTCACATATGTCATATTTATATATCACCCGTCAGTTGTTTTCAACCTTTCATAAGGTAGACAACCTGGAAAATCCAAATCTTGTACACAAATGTGTTATGCAGTCGGCAGGCTTTTGAATATATATTGATGTCAGCTATTTTTAACATTTCTATTCTTTAAGTGATGTCTAGTTTGCTTAACGATTTCCAAATGTTCAAGTAGCCTTTTATTGGAATTGATATTTTTTTTTTTTCTCAATATTTTAAAAGTTGTCTCAGATATATGTATAAAGTCGTTAAAACATGTGTAGAATCATATTTCGAGGCTCTGTCCCCTAGGTCAAGACCAGTGACTTTGAATTAACAGGCAATTTTCAATGTTCTATATTTCGTTTGTTATTGATTAAGTTATAAAATGATAGAATTATCTCAATTGTACACACCAATGCCATACAGTACTTGCAACCTTAGGCGTTACTATTTTAGCAATCAATCTGCAGTCATCGATCAGTCGCCGATTATTTGACGTATCTGACAGATTCTATGGGTCATTGATCACCGATCATTCATTGATCAGTCAAACATACATCATTTATCATTCATCGATCAGTCAAGTTCCCATCAAACAGTAACGCCTAAGGTTGCAAGTACTGTACATATTGCTTTAAGAGTTTTCTCAACGTTAGATATCTATAGATTTTTTTCTCATGATTACTCATCGAAATCATGATTTCTTTATAGATTAAATAGTTCAGAGTGCAGAAATCCAATGAAGTGGATTTTTTTTAATTAAATTGTTTTACAGTCTTTGAAATCTTAATATAACTTAAACTTTTTGTAATCATTGCAATTGCGATGTATACAAATATGTAAATCCTTGTGCTTATAGCGCTAATCAAATGCTTTCTAAATATTCTTTTCATCAAATTGCTTCATTTGAGGAGCTTTCTAGATTGTTCAGATACATCAGACTTGTTTCAGAAATTCTGTCCCAAGTCAGGAGCCTCTAGCCTTTGTCAGTCTTGTATTATTTTTAATTTTAGTTTCTTGTGTACAATTTGGAGTTTAGTATGGCGTTCATTATCACTGAACTAGTATATATATTTGTTTAGGGGCCAGCTGGAGGACGCCTCCGGGTGCGGGAATTTCTCGCTGCATTGAAGACCTGTTGGTGACCTTCTGCTGTTGTCTGTTCTATGGTCGGGTTGTTGCCTCTTTGACACATTCCCCATTTCCATTCTCAATTTTATTAATCTGTCTAACATATATTCCGGAACATAGTTCTGACACATTCATAAAATTTAAGACATTTTCAGAAGTTCTGAATTTTTCTGAATCAAAATGTTTTCAAGATTCAGAAAAATGCAGCAGAAATTCAGAATTGTCAGTCTCCATTCCAAAAAAGTTATATCACGTAATCACATGATTTATAACTAACTTAAAGGGTTTCAAATGTTTGGATATAAGCATTCCTGATGAAGGTTATTTATCATGCTAATCCAGAAGAGCACTTAGGACGCACGAAATTGGTATTGTTATTTTCATATCGGGATTCAAAAAGATTCAGTCATATTTTTCTTGTATTAGACAATTTCTAAAAGAATTTAGATATCTTCAGACAAATTGGGACTGTACTCAGAACTGTTTCTTCCATGATGGAACAATGTACTTACTTTTTACATTTTACCTCTTAAAAGAGGGGCGAAAGATACCAGAGGGACAGTCAAACTCATAGATCGAAAATAAACTGACAATGCCATGGCTAAAAAAGAAAGAAACAAACAGACAAATAATAGTACACAAGACACATCATAGAAAACTAAAGACTAAGCAACACAAACCCCACCAAAATGACACCATTTTTTTCTAAAATAATTTCTTTCACTATGATTTTAATAAAACAGTAAAATACTTGGTCTGTATCTTTATTAAAAGGTGAATAATTTACATATTAGTTACTAGTAGTTGTTTACATATTAAATATTTCCCCTATCCAAGCAGTTTCTTAATTAGCGTTTATCATTTTTTTTACTGTTAATGAGAGATCAGGTTTGTATTATGCATTGACTCATGGGAAGGTCTGACAGACAGGAGTTTTTTGTTCATGCTTATTATAGGTCAAAACTGTTTTAAATTGATCAATTATTAACAGATTATTGATTGACAGTGTTCATTATAAATTGTAAAAATTTCGCCAATTAAAGCCAAACAGACTAGCTAGATTATATTAAAAACATTATTTGTATATGAATTTCATATCTTTCCTCTATTGCTGTTATTTGATAGAATTTGAAAGGGTTGAACTGTGACCTTTAGCTGATTATTTACTTGTCTATTGGTTTGTGGTGAATTGTTGTCTCAATATCTATCATAACACATCCGCTCATTTGTTTTTTGTTATAGAGAATGTGTAGAGCTTTAACAAGGGTGATTTATTTTCATACCTAAAATGTCACATTAATATATTCCTAAAATTGCTTAAGTAATGCCACATACATAAAATAAAATGTATAAGATGGTATCATGAATCTGTCTCCCATAAAATAGTAACAGTACAATTATTACATGTTCTAATAACATTGCAATGCTGGTGAAAGTAAAGACAGCTCGTAATGTGTTTTTCATTATTCCGTTCAACTACAAATAACTTGCACATCTTTATGAGACTTAAATAAATGGTGATTGAAATCGGTATTCTATTTCTTTGTAGATTTATTCCAGTTATGGATGGACTCAATCCATTGCTACAGTAGACTGGAAGAGGACAAAAGTAATTCTGCTGACAGCAAGACATCAGATGATCTTGATCCACCAGTAGTTATTGTTGGTACTTGGAAAGATGCTGTGACCTCTGATGTAGAAGAGGTATTGAAAATCTACAAATGTTTATGGGTTGCAAGCACACTTCTACTGTTCTTTCATTTTTGTACAGGACCATTATGTTTTACTGATAGTGTAATCTAATCAGATCAACATTTTGACAATATCTAATGCATACCTGTCAACCTATGCAAATGAAAATGCAGGTCATGACCTGCATTGAAGAATCAAATCTTAGGTCATAAAGCGAACGAACTTTTTACAGCTGAATTTAAGTATTTAGGGGACATGTCGTTATATTTTAAATCCAACAGTTTCCAAAATATGTTCGCATGATGAATTTCTAATAGAAAATAGGCTTTAATTTCATTTGTTCATTGCATAAGCCATTGACATATTTATGTGTTCAATATACTGTATTATGTCAAACCTAACTATACCCCATCTCCTAGTTTGATTTAGAGTATTAACTTAATTCTCAAGCTACAGTGCTTGATATCATTTATCATTATTCACCGTTGGACGTGATTTTTATTTCTCAGTATGTATCATGCTGTGTAACAAATATAAAAGAGAGTGATTATTATAATGTAATAAAATAATTAAGCATTCAAAGGAACTGAAGATAAAAAAATTAATTTTCAAAATATTGTTTTCATAGTTCTAAGGTAGAAAAATAAAAGAATATAATATTCTGATATGTATTTGCATTCAATTCGTTCTAAGATTTAATCTTTTTACAAATATAAATCATAAAATTAAGGAGTATATTGTGAAAGGTGACAAAAAAGGGAAAGTAACTCAAATTTGTTGTCAAACAATTTTAAAATAGACAAAATTATTTATGACCTTAAGCTACGGTAATTGGTGTTAATTAACAGTGTGTTTGACACCAAAGCTGTCAAGTGAAGCCATGCACTTAATTGGTCATTGTTGATAAATATTCCAAATCAACTTCACAAATAATACATGATGGTCTTGAAGTATAAATTCTGCGTACTGACGCTGTTTATCATCTTAATAACGTGTTAAAGTGTTCTTTTTTTTGTCTTTATTAATATTACTTTTACTGTTTGGTCTGTTTTTGGTGATATATATATGTGACGTGGCTCTGTACTTATGCATCCCGTCATTGTGTTGTTTGTATTATTTTTCATTTTTACTTGCGTGCTTTGTCCGTGTGACTTTTTATGTTTCTTTGATACATATGACGTGTCTCTGTACTTTAAACATCCCGCCATTGTGTTATTGTTCTATTATAATTTTTGCATACTTTGAACGACAAAATTATTTTATATCTCTACCTGTGTGACGTTTACATTCTGACGTGAAACGCGCGATTCTACGCCAGAGTTAATGTTAAAATTACGATTCTGTCCCAGTGCTTAAAATCCCTCAATCCTTTATGGGTTGGTTTAGCATACATAAATAATATACAAAAATAAGTTAGCAATGAACGAGGTTGTTAAATGTGATATATGATTTTTTGTGCTTCTTTGTTAAATACTTGTTTGTTTTTGTTGTGATTAAGATTGTATCGATATCACGGTGTTGACTGCTGTACCCCTATTTTGACATTTTTACCTATTATGTCTGTTTTATTCACGCATCGTTGTCAATATAATGAAATTGGATGCGACTGTCATACAAGTGAGAGGTTTAGCGCTTTAAAACCAGGTTCAATCCACCATTTTCTACATAAGAAAATGCCTGTACCAAGTCAGGAATATGACAGTTGTTGTCCATTCGTTTGATGTGTTTGTGCTTTTGATTTTGCCATTTGATTAGGGACTTTCCATTTTGAATTTTCCTCAGAGTTCAGTATTTTTGTGATTTAACTTTTCACTTAATTTGACAGTTAACACAGCTATTTGAACTTCTTGTCTAGGAAGAATTGCGAATTTGCCTGGTATTTCAAAGGAAAATCACTTTAAGGACAATCTAAAGGCTCCCTTATTTCAAAACGGGTTATTTTCCAAATTCACAGGTTATTTGACGACCCAGAGGATATTTAAACCATCCCGGGTAGGGGGTGAAATTCTCGGGTGTGACCCGCAGGATACGGGTCAGTTGACAGGTATGATAATGAAATAACTTTATCAGTTTAAAGTGTTATCAGGAATAGCAAATCCTTTATCACATTTTAAAAAAGTTGTGTTCTTACGATAATTTATTTAATATAATATAGTTAAATGATTATCATATATGTTTATATACATGTAGCTTTAGTATTTACTTCATGTTTTCAAATATGTTCAAAGCATTCATATATTTGTAAAGACCAAACAAACAAACAAGCATATTTTTTTTGTAGATTGACGATGCATGCCGAGAAAACATTTTTAAGTTTACGAAGAATATGTCAGAAGATGAACTAAAACATATAAGGCAAGAATACTTCATTTCCAATACAGAAGATGACCCCAGTGTATTCCAGCAAATCCGAGAAGACATCCTAAGCTTAGCTAGAAAAATAAAAACGTGGAACAAAGTTTACCCCTTAAAATTTATTCAGCTGGAAAAACGACTTCAAGAGAAAAAGAAGGAGTTACCAATTATTTCCTTTCATGAAATTAAGCACATCTCTACTAATACACCTAATCCACTAAATGATGAGGAACTCAGATTGTTCCTGGAATTTCACCATGAGATCAGAGCTTTAGTTTATTTCAAAGATCTGTCTTCTTATATTATTTTAGACACACAGTGGTTGTCTGATGCTTTTAAATGTATAGTCACAGCTAAGAAATTTAGAGCTTTTAGTACTAAAAATAGAACAAAATGGGATGAATTGTATAGCAGAGGCAAATTACATAGTGAGGTTTTAGACGACATATTTAGAAAAAGTGAAAACATTTTTGCCAAACACAAGGATCACATCCTGAACGTAATGGAGAAATTTGATATCATTATACGTCCTAACATATCAGAAACTCAAAGAGACGCTGGTGATGACAAACCTCTCTATTATGTACCTTGTATGATTAAATCAGAACCTGAGTGTGATATATACGAAATGTTTAATGTTACAGAAAACACATGTAATAAGTCCACCTGGTTATGTTATAAGTTTAGGTTTCTTCCACCTCATTTAATGAATCATTTAATTGCGTCACTGTGCAGGAAATATAAAGTTGCAGAAGTTGTCACGAAGGAACAGAAAAGACAAATTGCTCTCTTCAGAGATTCAGCTGTCTTTGAGTTACAGAAAACGACAAAATTAGCAAAATTGCATATACTGAAATGTCCGAATTGGATTCAAATTCAGGTTTGGCAATTTGAGAAAGGACGTCAAATGTACAAATACATTGACGACTTTGTGACAGAGGAAATTGTCAAGATAATAAGCACAAGATTTAAGATGTCTAATGTGAAATTTAAGAAAAAGTGGGAATGTGGCCAAACAAGACCAGAGTCTGTAACAGGATTGTTTGACTATCCTGAAGATCAGGATACAAAATATTATTGTGAGACATGTAGAATTGCACATGAGTTCACAGGTGAATGGTCAGATCTACAATATAGAACAGTTGATGTAAGTAAAAGATTTATCAATGTTTGGTGAGTTTTACAAGGAAAATTTGTAATAAGATGGTACATTGGTTAACCTCTTTTAGTCCTTCCATTAATCCATCCAATAAAATGTTTTCCTAGCTTTTCTCAGGCACTAACGTTAAGAGAAATTTACATCTTAATAGTTATTTGTTGATTTAAACAATTTTTCACTTTCACATTAATTGTTTATCGTGATCCAGTTTGATATAAACATATATTTTTACACATTTCAACCATATATTATGTATATGACACATGTTTTTCTCTCTTTCTAAAAAGTGTCAATTAGAGTTCCATGAAATTTGCTATACCGCGTGATACCTTTTCAAATATGATACTCATCAACTCCGTCTCTGTATTTACCAAATACTTATCTATTGATATGAAAATAGTTAGAAAAAGCTCACAGTTCAACTTGTCCATGTTGTTTCCTCCAGAAAACTGAAGCAAGACATGTATTTTACTTCAGAATCAGGCAGCAGTGATGTCCTCAACCTCCTTTTCTTAGTTCGGATGGTCTAAAGACCAAACAAAGAACTGGCAAGAGATAAACTGAATATTTCAGAAACTAACTGTGAAAACTTAACTATAATCTGCTTGTAGAAATACAAGATGCTCTATCTATGCAATAATTGTAATAACATGTAAGTTGTAATATGTTTCCATAATAGTTCATACATTTAAGTAGAGTGCTGTTTTAATTATATATAAGGTAAGGGGGATCATCTGATAGTGGTACATTTTATTTTCTAAATTATTGTAGTTGTTACAGAGTTCTGCAAACGTTCCAATATCTAATCCTTACACAGAAAGCTCAAGTCAAATCCAAACTACGGTTCAATCCACCAAGGTAAAAAGCTACTATTTTATAGCATGGAAGTTATCCTTATGTTGATATTTGTATAACTAGCAGTAAGTATTATGTTGATATTTGTATAACTAGCAGTAAGTATTATGTTGATATTTGTATAACTAGCAGTAAGTATTATGTTATGTATACATGATGATGTAAGATAGATTAATTATTACTTGTATTACTTCAGACCTAATTTCTGACAAAATTATACATTCGTCAAATCGAGCAACTTTTATTTAGCATGTTTAGATTGACAATAAATAATATGAAATATTTCTTGCTGTTGAAATGCAAACTATTCAGACAGTGGATTCAAGATAATCCAAACTGAGCATTTTAGCTAATCTGACAATGTAAGCTATTGCTATGGTTTTGCGTCTTTTTCCCTCGTTCTGAATGTAAAAAAGATTTTCCTCTTTTTAAAGAAAAATGTGCGGCCAAAATGAACCAAACTCCAATCATTATCTTTACTTATAAATTGATTTACCTTTTCAGTTAAAATCTATAAGGAGTCTGGGGTTTAAAATTTCAATGACGGGCTTGTTTGAAACTTAAGCAGAGGACTTTTCATCATAAAGGTAGCACATCTTTGAAGAAAAATGTAGCTTTTTTTAATTTACCCATTTTACTAATTCTTGTATACGCCAAAGAATTTAGACATAATTGCATGCTTGAATTGGTTGATTATTCAACCTACATGTATGTTTATAAAAATAGAATGAAAGAAAATGATAGGGGCCACCCTCATTGACATATTTTTATACGACCGCAAAATATTTTTTGCATCGTATAATGCTATGATGTCGTCGTCTGCGTCGTCGTCCGAAGACACATTTGGTTTCTGGACAATAACTTAAGTTTAAGAAAATGGATCTCTATGGAATTTTACCAGAAGGTTCAATACCTCAAAAAGAAGGTTTGGATCGAATTTGGGGGTTATGGTACCAACAGTTATGGGATTAGGGGCCAAAAAGGGGCAAAAAAAAGCATTTTTGTAGTTTCCGCACACTAATATGTGTGTTAGTGTATGGATCTCTCTGAAATTGTACCACAAGGATCCATATCACAAAGGGAAGGCTGGGATTGAGTTTGGGGGTAATTGCCCTAAACGTTCAGGAATAAGGGGCAACAAAGGGGCCAAAAACAAGCATTTTTCTAGTTTCCAGACTATAACTTGTGTTTAAGTGTATGGATCTCTCTAAAATTGTACTACAATGTTCCATACCACAAAAGGGAAGGCTGGGACTGAGTTTGGGGGTAATTACTTCAAAGGGGGGGTCAAAAAATTGGGGAATTTTTTTTGTCTAAATTTTTTTGGGGGATTCATTTTTTGTCTTCAAAATTTTTGAAATCTTCAATTGCACAGTATTACGCAATAGCAAGAAATCTTCAATTGCACAGTACTGCGCAATAGGAAGAAATTTTCATTTGCACAGTATTGTGCAATAGCAAGAAATCTTCAATTGGACAGTATTGCCCAATAGCACAGTATTGCACAATAGCACAGTATTGCACAATAGCAAGAAATCTTCAACTGCACAGTATTGCGCAATAGCAAGAAATCTTCAATTGCACAGTATTGCGCAATAGCAAAACAATCTTCAATTGCACAGTATTGCGCAATAGCAAGAAATCTTCAATTGTACAGTATTTCGCAATAGCACAGTATTGCACAATAGCAAGAAATCTTCAATTGCACAGTATTGCGCAGTAGCAAGAAATCTTCAATTGAAAACAAATACAAATATTTCAACCAATTTCAATGGGATTAATTAAGTCTTTAATTTTGGGGGGGTTCTAACCTTGTATAATTTTTTGAGATAATGGGCCCGATTTTTAAATTGGTTTACATTGAGGTCAAAAGGGTCCCAAATTAAACTTTCAAAAACTGAATTATTGCGGCTGTATCATGTATGGTTTGCTGAGTCTTATTATACATTTAGATTTTGTTAATTTGGGCCCTGTTTTCAAATTAGTCCATATTGAGGTTTGAAGGGCCCAAAATTAAACTTTGTTTGATTTCAACCAAAATTAAATTTTGGGTGTTTTTAGCTCACCTGGCCTAAAGGGCCAAGTGAGCTTTTCTCATCACTTGGCGTCCGTCGTCGTCCCTCTTCCTTCGTCCGTCGTCCGTCGTTGTTAACTTTTACAAAAATCTTCTTCTCTGAAACTACTCGGGCAAATTTAACCAAACTTGGCCACAATCATCATTGGGGTATCTAGTTTAAAAATATATCCGGTGACCCTTCCAACCAACCAAGATGGCCGCCATGGCTAAAAATAGAACATAGGGGTAAAATGTCGATTTTGGCTTATATCTCTGAAACCAAAGCATTTAGGGCAAATCTGACATGGAATAAAATTGTTTATCAGATCAAGATCTATCTGCTCTGAAATTTTCAGATGAATCGAACAACCCATCGTTGGGTTGCTGCCCCTGAATTGGTAATTTTAAGAAAATTTTGCAGTTTTCGATTATTATGTTGTGAATATTATTATAGATACAGATAAACTGTAAACACCAATAATGTTCAGCAAAGTAATTTCTACAAATAAGTCAACATGACTAAAATGGTCAGTTGACCCCTTAAGGAGTTATTGCCCTTTATAGTCATTTTTTAACAATTTTTCGTAAATTTTTGTAATCTTTTACAAAAATCTTCTCCTCTGAAACTACTAAGACAAATGTAACTAAACTTGTCCACAATCATCATTAGGGTATCTAGTGTTAAAAATGTGTCCGATGACCCTGCCCGCGAACCAAGATGGCCGACATGGCTAAAAATAGTACACAGGGTAAAATGCAGTTTTTTGCTCATACCTCTGAAACCAAAGCATTTAGAGCAAATCTGACATGGAATAAAATTGTTCATTAGGTCGAGATCTATCTGCCATGAAATTTTCAGACTAATCAGGCAACCCGTTGTTGGGTTGCTACCCCTGAATTGGTAATTTTAAGAAAATTTTGCAGCATTTGGTTTTTATCTTGAATATTATTATAGATAGAGATAAACTGTAAACAGCAATAATGTACAGCAAAGTAAGACCTACAAATAAGTCAACACGATCAAAATGGTCAATTGACCCCTTAAGGAGTTATTGCCCTGTATAGTCAATTTTTAACAATTTTCATAAATTTTTTTAATTTTTGTAAATTTTTACAAAATATTTTCCACTGTAACTACTGGGCCAAGTTCATTATAGATAGAGGTAATTGTAAGCAGCTAGAATGTTCAGTAAAGTAAGATCTACAAACACATCACCATAACCAAAACACAATTTTGTAATTGAATCCATCTGTGTCCTTTGTTTAATATGCACATAGACCAAGGTGAGCGACAAAGGCTCTTAAGAGCCTCTAATTTTATATGCTAAATCTAATCATGTTGTTTTTAAGATCTTTGATCACATTTATTTTGTGTCAGAAACCTATATTATGTTAAAAATTTGATCACAATCCAAATTCAGACAGTATCAAGCTTGAATATTGTGTCCAAACTTGCCTTAACTCTTCAGGGTTTAACCTCTGCGGTCGTATCAGGCTGCGCTCAGCGAAGCATTTTATCATGATGGTTACCAATATTTTCTATTGATAATGAATGACATGCTTGTATATTTGAAGGTATTTGTCCGGGTCCAAGCTGGTGAGAGAGTATTTTCAAATGCCAATGAAGGGGCAACAGGAACAGCCAGTTCGGCAGGGGTATGTAACACCACAATGTAATTTCATGCCAAATTCAGTTCCCAAAAATGAAAATAAATGAATTGGGAGATGTTCAGTCTTGCGTTTGTTTAGTTTGTTGAGAAAGTGTAACGTTTGAATCGTCAAGTTGTATGTAATTCCCCTTTTTTTTATTTACCCTGGAGTTTGGTAGTTTTGTTATACTTTTTTAGCTCACCTGGCCCACAGGGCCAAGTGAGCTTTTCTCACACTTGGCGTCCGTCGATGTTAACTTTGAAAAAAAATCTTCTCCTGTGAAACTACTGGGCCAAATTTAACCAAACTTAGCCACAATCATCATTGGGGTATCTAGTTTAAAAAATGTGTCCAGTGACCCGGCTTACCAACCAAAATGGCCGCCATGGCTAAAATTAGAACATAGGGGTAAAATGTAGATTTTGGCTTATATCTCTGAAACCAAAGTATTTAGAGCAAATCTAACATGAGGTAAAATTGTTTATCAGGTCAAGATCTATCTGCCCTGAAGTTTTCAGATGAATAGAACAACCCATTGTTGGGTTGCTGCCCCTGAATTGGTAATTTTAAGGAATTTTTGCCGTTTTAGGTTATTATCTTGAATATTATTATAGATAGAGATAAACTGTAAACAACAATAATGTTCAGCAAAGTAAGATCTACAAATAAGTCAAATGACCAAAATAATCAGTTGACCCCTTAAGGAGTTATTGCCCTTTATAGTCAATTTTTAACAATTTTTTCGTAAATTTTTGTAATCTTTTACAAAATTCTTCTCCTCTGAAACTACTGAGACAAATTCAACCAAACTTGTCCACAATCATTATTAGAGTATCTAGTTTAAAAAATGTGTCCGATGACCCTGCATGTGAACCAAGATGGCCGACATGGCTAAAAATAGTACATAGGGTAAAATGCAGTTTTTATACGACCGCAAAAAAATGTTTTTGCGATCGTATATTGGTATCACGTCGTCGTCCGAAGACATTTGGTTTTCGCACAATAACTTTAGTATAAGTAAATAGAAATCTATGAAAATTAAACACAAGGTTTATGACCACAAAAGGAAAGTTGGGATTGATTTTGGGAGTTTTGGTCCCAACAGTTTAGGAGGGGCCAACAAAGGGCCCCAAATAAGCATTTTTCTTGGTTTTCGCACAATAACTTTAGTATAAGTAAATAGAAATCTATGAAATTTAAATACAAGGTTTAGGACCACAAAAGAAAAGTTGGGATTGATTTTGGAAGTTTTGGTCCATACAGTTTAGGAATTAGGGGCCAACAAAGGGCCCCAAATAAGCATTTTTCTTGGTTTTCGCACAATAACTTTAGTATAAGTAAATAGAAATCTATGAAATTTAAATACAAGGTTTATGACCACAAAAGGAAGGTTGGGATTGATTTCGGGGGTTTTGGTTCCAACAGTTTAGGAATTAGAGGCCAAAAGGGTCCAAAATTAAACTTTGTTTGATTTCATCAAAAGTTGAATTATTGGGGTTTTTTGATATGCCGAATCTTACCGTGTATTTAGATTCTTAATTTTTGGTCCCGTTTTCAAATTGGTCTACATTAAGGTCCAAAGGGTCCAAAATTAAACTTAGTTTGATTTTAACAAAAATTAAATTCTTGGGGTTCTTTGATATGCTGAATCGAAACATGTACTTAGATTTTTGATTAAGGGCCCAGTTTTCAAGTTGGTCAAAATCAGGGTCCAAAATTAAACTTTGTTTGATTTCTACAAAAATTGAATACATGGGGTTCTTTGATATGCTGAATCTAACCATGTATTTAGATTTTTGATATTTGGGCCCCGTTATCAAATTGGTCTACATAGAGGTCTAAAGGGTCCAAAATTGAACTTTATTTGATTTCATCAAAAATTGAATTCTTGGGGTTCTTTGATATGTTGAATCTAACCATGTATTTAGATTTTGGATATTGGACCATAATAGGTAAATGTCCAATTTAAAATTTTTAAGTTCTTAGACCACATTCATTCTGTGTCAGAAACCTCTGCTGTGTCAACTATTTAATCACAATCCAAATTCAGAGCTGTATCAAGCTTGAATGTTGTGTCCATACTTGCCCCAACTGTTCAGGGTTCGACCTCTGGGGTCATATCAAGCTGCGTCCTGCGGAGCATTTTATTGGCTCATATCTCTGAAACAAAAGCATTTAGAGCATATCTGACATGGAGTAAAATTGTTCATTAGGTCAAGATCTATCTGTCCTGAAATTTTCAGACCAATCAGGCAACCCATTGTTGGGTTGCTACCCCTGAATCAGTAATTTTAGGAAAATTTTGCAGCTTTTGGTTATTATCTTCAATATTATTATAGATAGAGATAAACTGTAAACAGCAATAATGTGCAGCAAAGTAAGACCTACAAATAAGTCAACATGACCAAAATGATCAATTGACCCCTTAAGGAGTTATTGCCTTTTATAGTCAATTTTTAACAATTGTCATAAATTTTGTAAATTTTTGTAAATTTTTACAAAATATTTTCCTCTGTAACTACTGGGCCAAGTTCATTACAGATAGAGATAATTGTAAGCAGCTAGAATGTTCAGTAAAGTAAGATCTACAAACACATCACCATCACCAAAACACAATTTTGTCATGAATCCATCTGTGTCCTTTGTTTAATATGCACATAGACCAAGGTGAGCGACACAAGCTCTTTAGAGCCTCTAGTTTTAGTAAATATAAAGGAAACAAAAACAAAACAAAAACAATCAGCTTTACTGAAAACAAAATTATGTTTTAATATATGTAATATGTGATGTGAGTAGTAAGTAAACTTTCATCAGTTGGATGAATAAACTTACACAAACGGCTAGTATTTACGTGAAGTGAGTAGTGTGTGTGCAGAATTGGACTTAATCTTTCGTTGGGTTGATAATCATACACAGACAGCTTAACTGAACTAGTATTGATATGTGAAGTGAGAAGTATGTGTTCAGCATTGGATGTAGTTTTCATCGAGTCGATAAACATACACAAACAGCCTCGAATAGTAATAGACATGATAGAAAAATGTTTACAATGGACAACTGAGAGTCAAGAGTCTACATCAGAGATATTTAAATAAGGGATCATCTCAAAAGTGTTAATTGATTTATTGATTTACTCCACATAACAATGGCTTTTGAACATAACCTCCAGTAGATTTAAGTAAAACGTTCGTTTGAAGTTTTTCCACCTGCTCTATCACTAAGTTGGTTGATTGGTTGGTTGAAAAAAAAATATTTGCATAACATCAGTTACTTCTTCATTTAGATTGATTGGTGTGGATTGTTGGTAAATAGCTTAATTGATTGAATGACATTTTGCTTCATGTCATATTTGACGGAAATTGCATTCATTAATTGATTTGACTTGGTTCGTTTTCTTATATGCATGAATATTAGTAATTGATTGATCGACATTTTCATAACGTACAGAAGTGCATATTGTATACCATATACATTGATTGATGGATTGATTGTTTCTATGATGTCCAGTAACAAATACTTTACTTTTATTCTTTATCCACAGAATGATAAAAAAAAATCCTCCAAATAAAGAACCAATTCATAATTTTAGAAAAAAATACACGGGGTTTGGTTCCAAGGAATATACAACAAAGGTAGGGGCTGGCTCCCATTAAATGGAAGGTTTTCATGTCGGTGCAACATGTTTATTTGTACCTTAATCATGGTACTTCTTTCTCATCACTTGTCGTCCATCGTCGTTAACTTTTACAAAAATCTTCTCCTCTAAAACTACTTGGCCAAATTTAACCAAACTTGGCCACAATTATCATTAGGGTATTTATTTTAAAATATGTGTCCGATAACCCGGCCTGCCAACCAACATGGCTGACATGGCTAAAAATAGAACATAGTGGTAAAATACAGTTTTTGGCTTATATCTCTGAAACTAAAGCATTTAGAGCAAATCTGACAATTGGTACAACTGTTCATCAGGCTAAGATAATTCTGCCCAGAAATTTGCAGACGAATTAGACAACTCGTTGTTGGGTTGCTGCCCCTGAATTGGTAATTTTAAGGAAATTTTGCAGTTTTTGGTTATTATCTTGAATATTATTATAGATAGAGATAAACTATAAACAACAATAATGTTCAGCAAAGTAAGTTCTACAAATAAGTCAACATGACCAAAATTGTCAATTGACCCCTTAAGGAGTTATTACCCTTTAAAGTCAATTTTTAACATTTTTTCGTTAATTTATGTAATATTTTACAAAAATCTTCTCATCTGAAACTACTGAGACAAATTTTACCAAACTTTTTCACAATCATCATTAGGGTATCTAGTTTACAAAATGTGTCCGATGACCACGCCTGCCAACCAACATGGCCGACATGCCTAAAAATAGAACATATGGGTAAAATGCAGTTTTTGGCTTATTTTATGCATCAATTGTAAACAAAAATATCAGGTGAGCGACACAGGCTCCTTGGAGCCTCTAGTTATTGTTTTATGTGTCTATCTGAATCTTAAAATTCCATTGTATTTTCTTTTTGGCATGTTCCAGGAGAGTCGTTCCACTGTATTTAATCGTGAAAGTAGTATCTGTATTTGTTTCTCTTTTTTTAGAAGGGGATATTTATACTGCTTCTCTTAGTAAAGCATGTTCAGTAAATATTCGTCACTTGACGTCACACAAACAATCAATGAATTGGATAATACTTTTCTTTACATTAGCACTGTGTATCATCGGTATAACGGATATAGGTTAGTCGCGCGTGATCGATTTTGACCTGACATAGTAAGAAAATCTTTGTTTTGTTTACATACTATCAATGTGTACTTCAATCTAAACATAATTGTTGTTTTAAGAAATCATTTGGTCGTAAGTTGATGATTAGAGAAGTCTCATTATTTTCCCAAAACAAGAACGCTTACTAAAAACATGTGCAAATACTTGTCAAAGAAGTTGGCGCTCGTCTCATCCGATATGATTCTATATTCATTGCAACTCTTTTTCTGATAAAAG